CACCTATCCGAGGCAGGAGTAAAGCCGTTGGTGAGACGACCCTCGGGCATTCAATAGACTTTGGTTAGTTAACAAGGCCTATCAAAGCCAGCCGCCCGACAAACGTACCATCGGTACGATCTATGCAGTCATCTGTCACGGGCACTGTCGGTCAGAAACGGCCTGTTAGGCGCGTCCTTATTTACGATCAGGTTTATGACCTCCGCAGATGATGTTTAAACACGTCAGATTATGTCCCTTGCTTTTTTACTGAAAGTCGTCTCGAAGCCATACAAAGGTAGCCAGGAGTGCCTTCATAATTGATGATGAATAAGAAAAGGACCGTTTGTCTGTTCCACCGTCGAGCTTGATGGGTGTTATTGATTGAACGGCTAATCAAAAATGCAACAACTTACGGCTTAAGCACCATTGCCAGAAATGCCGTCCAATGTCTAGCATGTCTGCCTATGCAGACTAGGTCTTACTCACCTATTCGGCCGCGGCATAAGCCGATTCCGCCATATGCACGTATACGATAACGATTATTAAAATATCACCCACTGATATGTCAAAGATCATGCGGCTGAACTTATCGACGCCGATACTGGTAAGTGGCATCCCTTGTTCGCGGATATTCGCGTGTAATGCGCGTCAGATAGGGGCTTACGCCGCATCAGCCAGTTTCCAATATCGCAATTTCCAGTTCGCCACAGCCTCAAAAAGGCAACAGGTGCGTGAGAGGGGAAAGAGAGTGAGGCCTATGCTGAGGTGCAATTTAGAGCATTCCCCAATAACTTTAGTGTGTTTGAAACTATTCCGGTGTACTAAAATCCGTGACTCGGAAGACCGCCAACCGATTGTAGAACTAGGTTCTTGCTTGGACTAAGATCCAGCCCAGAATGTTGCCGGCATTCAGTTACTGTGTACTGTTTGTCGAATTACGCTGGTCGACAACTCAGTCGTACCCTACATCAGAAGGCCTGGAAGACGGTTAGACGGTCAGACTTTACTGAACCAAAGCAGTATACACACGGCTCATCAAGCAGTTCCGCAAGCATTCTCACTAGGCAAGAGACAGCCATTGAGGTTTTCAGCGTGAAGCGCGTGCGTGCATCAGGTCTTGTCCGCCAACTATCAAAAGACGGAGCTTCAACAGACCGCGAGCTCTGGCCACGCGAGTGCCAAGTAATTGATTGACAGGGAGCGTCCGACGGACTGAAGGCAGCATGAACGAGCGGCCGCTCGGATGACTCTGAGGACGGGCCGCTGCGGTACTCTCATCTAGACAAAAGAGAGTGTAATGAATCCGAAGGAACCGTTTCGGTGTAAAAACACGAGTAACCGGTCGGCCAGGAAAGTGAGCATGGTGTCCACTGTGTGACGCATACGGAAGGGACATTTGAAGTCTCGCGTGCGCTGCGGTGGAAGAATTGGAGGATGACGAGGTTACAGCTGAAGGCGGTGAACATGTAGGGGCGGGTGTAGGCGAGGTGGAGATACAGAGAGTAGGGTGGGAAAGCAGAGGATACATGTTGAGCATATTTTTGTGCCTCAGTCAGGTTTGGCGGTTTCCCTAGGATAGCAGTCCTGACCCGGTCGACGCTGACCACATCCTTGTCATCTAAAAGGATCCGACAGGTTTTGGTAGCACGTGAAAGTACCCAGAACAGTCCTTCTCATGGAGATTCCAGAGCCTTTCTGGACATCAGACTCTGGGGCTGGAGTCTGTGGTGGGACGAAATGGTCGCTCATGTTTTCTTGCGCTGGGACAATTTCTTCGGCACCGCAACTCACTACCTCTGGTCTGGGTGGGGGGTGCTGTAAGAGCCCGTTCCTACGGTCGTCCGAGCGGCCGCTCGTCCACTCCGTCTTCAGTTCTCCTGACGGCTCCTGTCAATCAGTTACTAGTGTGGCGAGCGCTCAAGGCCTGGTGGGACTCCGTCCTTTGCTAGTTGGCTATTGGCGGACAATGCCCAGACGCACACAGCCGCTTCACGCCGGGGCTGGGGACCTCAGTAGCTGACGTTTGCCTAGTGAGTGCGCTTGCGGCAAATGTTTGCTGAGTCGCGTGGACACTGCCTTGCTTCGGCAAAGTCTGGTCGTATAACTGTCTTCCGACTTGGCAAACTACCGAGTTGTTGACCATGATACTTCGAAACGTGCTGACTTTTTCTTAACACCGGACTTCCCTATATCCTTCGGTATAGTTTGATGCCGTCCTCCGGTCTCGGAGGTGTTCTGCGCCGAGGTGCCAGACTAACTTATGCCTTTAACGGTCTGGTTGCTTTTCCTTAACAGCCTTGGTCGTTTTAACGCAATCCGAACAACGCTATAAACCAACACACGCTTTCGGCATGCGTTTGGCGATCAGGCCGTCGGTTTTTTGAATATCAATTGTATATGCTTACTGGCTTTTCCTGCTGTGCTATGAGGCTTGTGCCCACCATTGGTAGCGTTGTGTTCACAATCTATTAGCCGCTGGGTCGCATTTCGTTTGCGTGTTGACTAGCATATGTAAAGCACACGTGGATATGGGATCGGTCCTGTCTGCTACGCACAAAACGTCGAGAAATTTTGGCGCGTGAGAGATGGATCATACTCTAGCAGATTTTTTCGTGTATGCGCGTGTGACCGAGCAGGCCTTTGCCATGTCTGGATTTGCGGGATTTCGTAGGCGGACGTTGGTTGTGTTGATGCAGAACTCGTTATAATTGACGGTGGTGTGAGTTGCCATGTTTTTTAGTGCATTTCAGAACTTTTGTGATAGGATGTTTACACATGGGTACTTAATTTGATGAAATAGTACTGTTGTTCGGGTTCCTAAATTTTGTATAGATGGCGGAATGGTTGCCAGTCAGGTAGGCTGGCGAATAGGGGAAACAGATAATGCTGTCGGACTCTGTTGGTGACGCTTAGCGCCCTACCACCGATCGCCGTTGCCGCTGCTATTAGGCAGGGAACATTTGGTATGGGTGGACATGGATGTTCCGGTTGCTCCACCAAATGTTCCGTCCCTCTTGCCCAGTGCTGGAGCCACAAATACCGACAGTCCGACCGTCGTTTCTGGCGATGTGCACCCGTGTGCTCTACAGCAAATCGGGAGCAAGGACGGTGAGTCCCGCGTGAATTCGTTTACAATGGCAGCATACATGTGCAGTATCTACCGCACTCCCTACCCCCACTTGGGCCCGGTTTCATGACAGTCAAGAAGGCCAGAGGCGAGAGGGCGTGAGTGGCTGGGACGGCGGAAACTTGCAACTAGACGTACCACCACATCGCCTGATCCACAACGTACACTTGCCAATATTTTACACTAACCAATGAGGAGGGGCGACTCGGACCCCAACTACTACCGCGCTAGGCCCTCCGCCACACCCCCAATGTTGGCATTCGTTATGGGTGTGCATTTCTTGTAACGTCCGCCGGATTGCAATCTGGCCCCTGTGCTGGTCCGGCGTCTTTACTGTGTGCTCCATTCTAGGGGCACAACCACAATGTCACAGAGGTCAAAACACTCAACTCACTTACGTCCTACAGTCCATTTGGGTCGCGTGCGCACCTTTAAATTGCACATCTTGATTCTTTCGAAGTTCATTTTCTATCTAAGAGTTTTCGCTTTGCCGGTAGAACCCAACGAACTCTCTGAGCAAGTGGAAAGCAATCCAAAGGTCGCGGGGTCGATGACTACAGAGACTGGTCCAGTAGAAGCTCGCGTTCTGGCTGGGTTTCTTCCCGGTCTAGACGCCTATACTGGATCCAGTTCGGACAGTTCTAGCGACTCTTCTACCGATGTTGAGGACTCGGCCCAGACCCTTGATGTCATCGCAGTGACACGGACTAAATCCGCCTCGAGCGGTGGTGAATGACTAGTTGTAGCATTAGTCAGATTTTGTATTTTCTTGTAAAGATTGATTCATGCTTCCCATTGTCCCCTTTTCTTGGAAAGCAGGAAATTGCAGTGACTACTTGTATACTTGTATTGCATTTGGTACACTTCGTATACGCGTTCAGTGCCCTGACTCCTACAGCACCGTTGTTCTGAGATTTCTTTACCTAAATCCTCTAGTTTTTACTCTATGCTGCTGAGACCATGACTGATGAAATGATGGCCCTCACTGCGCTTGTGCATGCCTCGGGATTGTCAGAAAACTGGGTTAGTTCACCGCTCCAGCGTCCAAGGACTGCCCTTTGACTTCGACAAATTGCCTCTCGGGGTCTTGTGCTGACCGCCTCTGCATCACTTTCTATTAGATGGCAGCACTGGGCTCACGGGACGAGCGACAGGAATGCGTTCAGACCATATTAGTCGTCTCTTATAGATTGTTCGAGATATCGTCGTTACGTTGTCATCACAGGCGTGGCTAGGACTAGGACAGGCTGCTCCTAAGTAAGTGCTGGCTCAAAAGGTCCATTTATTACTCATCTTCTATGTGTATATCGGACTGAACGTCAGGTTGTAATGGTTTCTTGATGTGGCCTCCATGGCACCTCCACTCAGTGAGCTGGTGTGGTAGCGCGCTTGGCTACGGCTTCCCGCCGCGCAAGCCACCGGTGCCCTCTCCCGCCTCCGATCTTGAATCTGTAATGACGCCGGGCCTAGTTGTGGGAGGAGACAGTGCGGTAGATGCCGCGCAAGTGTGCCGCCGCCATAAACAAATTCACGAGCAAGTCGCCGGCCCAGCGTTCACCCTGCTATGGGGCATACGGTGGGCATCGTTGAACTTGATGGTCGAACCGCCAATGTGTATAATCAAGCATTCTCAGCCGCATGGAGGAAGTAACCCAACATTTGTCTGGTGCACCCACTTCCGTGCTCATGAGGTCATCATTGTGGACCTGTAGATACATCAGGAGCCTACCAACGACCATAAAAGGAGGAACTATTTTGGAGACGATGTCGTTACTGCTGACTCAGACATTTGACGCTGAAAAAATGCGAAAAGGTGTCTCTGTCCTCTGTAGGACGTGTCTCTCCTGGGACCGAGGTACCTGGTTCCACGCATTTAAAACGGGTCACTTCTTGTAGGTCCCAGCCGTGAATCAGAAGAACTGCCTTGTTTTGGTCGAGTATGTGCCAATGAAGAAAAGCCAACTAAGGTGGCGACCTCGTTTGTCAGAAACGTTGCGCCTTTAAGTCTTCTTCTTTGACACAGTGCAACCAATTTGCCTCGTATGAGTTGGGACCCAAATGTATGAAGACGGACAACAGGCTTCTCGAGAATCCGACTGTATTATCGAATCCACGACCGAATTTCGAACATTTGTGTGGCTGTTGCAGACGCAAGTGGAGTAGTAACAGGTGTCCATTTCAAACCCACTTTTGATTACTTGACCTTTTAACTCTAATCACCTAAACAAACGACGGTGTATTTGTCACAAACAATCAACGTATTCCTTACTGCAATAAATCCGATGTGCTTGAATCACTCACGATGCGTCAAGAGTCGTGGCTTGAAAGGCTACCAACTGGCATGGTACTTTGGTTCCCATTGGAGTATTTGTCATGACTGGAGGGCTGGAAGTCAGGCCACAATATCTGCCTCCCAATACGGGGATACGGGTTATCCGCTAGCCTAGCTGCTGGCAACCCGGCGCGTCCATAGATGGCGGATAGTGAACCGACCTTCAGCGGGATAGGCAGACCCTCGAGTTTGGCGAATAAGCAATCGCAGGCTGACAGCGACAGTGCTACCGGGGTGCAGAGGACTGGGGTCTGGTACGTCAACAGCCCTTTAAAATGCCACGAAGCCGAACGACGGCACTGCGACATGGAAACCGTGAACCGCTTGCCACTGCTGCCTTATGGTCAGGTTCTTGAATTAAAGCGATAGAGAAGACAATCGAAGCGACCGTCTGTACTCATAATTCCCAAGAAACCTCGTGAAAATATGTCCGAATTCAGTACTACGATGCATGTCACGGCATCCGCGGGAACCGACACTCCATAACCCTGATCCAGTGGTGCGGGCGAATAGAGTGCAAGCTGGACCGCTCAGTCGGGAACGGACCCTAGATATTGGATACTGGAACGTGTGGACGTTTCTGGACCCCGGTACCCAAAGCACGACGGCCCACAGTCGTCATTGGTACAATGTGGATATCTGCTCTCCGTCTGGAGTCCGATTCTGGCACCCGAGAAATAAGGACCTCCGCAGTCAACTCGCACTTCATCCGGCACCACAGTAGCCCAAGCGACCCTTCTGTTAGACACGGTGTGGCGATCGCCCTCTCGCAACTACCTATTTGTGCACTACTCCCATCAATGACCGAATGGTCTGTGTGCCAATAAAGTCACTTTACGAATACCACTGTCGTCTTCGTGTACGTACGAACAGCGTGACCGAGACCTACTCACAGCTACAACAGTTATTCGAAAAACTCCCTCGCCGTGATCTGTTTTTTTTATCGCCGGGGACTGGATTGGCCGAACTGGGTCTGGCGACTCACCAGATAGTCACCTTATTGGCCGCTTTGGGCTTGGCTCGCAATGCATCAATGGTGGGAAAATGCCGAACTTTGCGGATCAGAACCGAATTTTCGTCACGATCACGTGCTTTCAGCATCGTCACAAACATTTGCTACCCTGGCATTCAAGCGACACCAATTCGGCTAGTCAGATCGATTACATTCTAGTTGATCCAATGTTTCGAAGCTAGGTTTACGATAGCCGATCGATGCGAGGTGTCGAATGCGAAAACGCCCATGTGTCGGACTATGTTCTCGTTGGCCGCTCATGTGCACCCGAAACGCCGCGAGGAAGACGTCTTGATGTCGCCAACTTCGACAGCCCGGCACCACGAGGCTCTGAGCAGAGAAATCCGGTCCTGTTTTATGACCTGAGTCGACGGAAGAGGCAGTAGCCAATGGTCATCATTAAAGTCATCGGTCTATGGGCAGCTGAAGAAATTTCAGTGACGCCGCAGTGAATAGATCAGCTAAGTGCCCTTCAGTTGTTTACTTAAACTGCTAGATCTTGGATGACAGGGAAGTGACCACAAGCGGCTGCTGTTTGTCCCCAACAAGGCTACACCGCTAGTTTATTAGACCAAAACGTGGCCACGCCGGCCGATGGTATGCACAATTGGGGTTACATTGAGTCCTTAATCATTACGCTAAGACCGCGTCAGCCACCACGATCTAAATCACTATTAATCGGCCGAAATGTTCTGACAAGTGCGAGGGAATTGAGGCCTCATAACAATCCAAGGCAGTTTCAACTGCAGTACATTTTAAGCGCTCAAAACTGTCACCGTGTCCTAAAACTCGTGGTCTAGGAGTGTCACCTGACGGATGGAGGAATAAAACAACCAGCTGGCATTCCTTAATGTCCTCGATTCCCGTAAAATAAAGTGGTGGCTTAACACGGGAGTGTTCAGGAGGGCGGCAGATATAACGCAAGTGTTGGGTTTTGACAGCAAGCACGCGGTCAGCCGCAAACGCAGTCACGGAGGCACAGTGCATCAACGTGTTGGGAAGCACTGCAGCGGACGAGATGACAAGCTTTTCGAATTGCAATGCCTCCCACAGAGGCTTAGAGCGAATGACTACCCGCGCAACTTTGTCAACGGGCGCATGCACAAACGAGGTGAGAGACCAAGATGCACAGACCCCACATCCTGGCGAGCGCTTCCGTATATCAGTAGCATCTATAAAGCCGTCAGCTGCTTTCTCACATCACTTGAAATTCGAGTCCCACACAGACCAGAGGTGACGATTTGGTGTCAAGTCATGAGACTGAAAAACCCACTACCCTGACAGGAAACGTCCGGGGTTATTAACCGGATCTGGCGCAGTTGCGGGCAAAGCAACTACGTCTGAAAAACTGGGTGATTACTTTGGATGCGGATGGCACGACACGCTGCGGAGGTGATGAAGGACGCTAGGCTTCAGGTCGAGGGCCATTCGACCAGACCAGCCACACCTTCGAGTTTGACGTGGTCTAAACTCTCGCGCAGGGGGCGACAACGCGAGCCGCAGGCTGTTCGAATCATTGTTCTCCGGTCCACCATCAAGGGCAGTTACCTATCCTTCTAATTCATAGCTGAAACTTTACGTGGACAGTAATTAGCCACGCGGGAATGACGCGGGTGAACGTCGCTCACAGTGACGGTATCAGCAAGTGAGTATATCACACCACCAATCAACACCAATGGTCGAATCACGGCAATTAACGGCTCGGATGCGAACGAGCATGCAGGCACTGCGATGGATGCCGGAGCTGCTACTTATGGCTGGTATGTGATGCATGGCAACTGCACCCCTTGCGCGTCCACAAATCTTATCTGTCATTGCCTCTGGTGGTGGATTCTAGTGAGAATTTGAAACCCCCCGCGAATAAACTTCTTGTCCTGCCGATCGAATCTCATTCTGTTCGGTTATTAAATAGTCAGTATAACAACTTATGCGACGGCAATGTTCTCCAGGGCAGTTTACCTATCCGTTCCCGCTATAGGCAGCTTGACGTGGGGGTAATGATGCTCGTGTTAAAAACGTGCGACCATTACTGGACAGTACAGGATGCATGAGTCTGGATATCCTGGACAAATATCGGTTAAATAAGACCCTGAACACCGAAGGATAGGCGATCCAATCCTATACCTCATTGCGCCTGAGGGCAGTCATTACAGCGAGTTTACATCGTCACAGCTCTGGAGAAAGGCCTAAAATAGCTCGGTGCACCTTAGAGGCCCAGCTTACCAGGACGGCAAATTCAGGCCTAATGAAATGCTAGCGCTCAATCCCGACAGCTTAGATTGCGCATTCGGCGACCAACGCATTGAAATTGGTCGGCAGTCCAAGCCTACGAGTGAATGCTGAGATCGGTGCAAATAATGACCTGATTAAGAGATATTTTGGCAGATTTGGG